CTTGTGGTCTCTTCCAACTCTATGATTCTATGGTTTTTATGATTTCTATGATTTCTATGATGTCTTCTCATACCACATCATACAGAATCCTTAGTAAAGTTTTTTGTACTAATGTTACTCATAAACTGTAATTTCTCTATATCACTGAATGTAATGGCAATAATTATGACATAAAGAACTAGCAAAATTAAAATTATCATACAATAACATATAATATCACACACACAGTCTAAATATATTTACATGTACATAGTTTCATGTGGTTAGAGTGAAAATTTGGTAAGATTATATGTTTTTAAATAAAAATTTAAAAGAATATTTTTCTAATTAAAACCCTGTGGCCTGTCCTTTCTCTTCCCACTGAGACTCACCCCAACTGTTCAGCATTTAAAGGGATGCAGGTGAATCCCACAGCCCATTTCTGCCAAAAGGTAGTTGTTTGGGGAGCAGTGGTGTCACTCCCCCTAGGGTGTCACCTGGTGAAGTCTAAACTCCCTGCACCCCATCATGATGCCCCTGAGTAGAATGAGGAATTGCATTGCATTATTAAATGGAAAGCAATTACTTGCACTGTATTGCAATTATTAAATGAGGAATTGCATTGCATTATTAAAATTCCCATTTAAAAGGCTACTACCAAAAATCACATTGGTTCACCATATGGAGTTTTAGAAGTGGAGAAGAACAGAAAAAGAGCTGTACTGGAGCATGCCAAAGGCCTATCTGTTCATACAGTGGTAAAACAGGTTCCTATGGGAAGCAGACATAATTAAAAAAAAAACTGATTCATTGATAGATCACATTTTGGATCATATTTTTAAACCACCACCAACCAAAGTTTTCTGAGCAGTGGCTCTTCAAGGTGCTGAACCTATACTGGGGACAAGATTCAACATCTTCATTATCTGCCTTCAAATCTAGTACAAAGCAGGGAGTAGATGTACTGTACCACTGATAGGAGGGACACCAGTTGCCTTTGGCCTAAAGAATTTGATCTTTGAGAATTCTGAGATGGATGGATGGATCTCATCTACTTCCAAAGCAAATGTGCTGATTGGAACTCTGTTATTAATACCTGGCCACAGTTCCTGAATGCTCTGACATAGTTCTTGATTGAAAAAAGTATCAAAAATATTTTAAATTGCATTTTAAGAGAATATATGTTTATAAATATGTATTTAATTTTCTAAAATTTAATTTCAAGATAAAATTTAAAAATAAAAGAACTCATTAATGTGAAACAGAAGAGAACCTACATATGAGTGAACACACTGGAAAATGGCACAGGCTAGAGATAAACAGATTAGTCTGTCCCTAGATTCATAAAAAGATACCTGTGATGCAGTAGACACTTCATAGTTGGTGACAGTAATGGGAAAATCATAACTGTGAGTTATGCTAACCTTACTTTTATCAACCTGCATGAAGGATCTTGTATGTCATAATGCTGCCCTTAACATATAAGAACTTCACACATGGCTGTACTTCAGCTGCAGCCTCAAAAAGATCTATTTTGAGGCAATGACCTTCAGGCAACCTTGAACTTTGGAAGATCATATAGACAGTCAGAGTCATTGCATGATATATTGTCTGACAAAGAACTAAGGGCCTTGCACTCTGAACTATTTCTTTCAAGACTGAAACAGTGATCTACAGCAGAATTTTTTTAATTGACCTCTCAAGTTCCCATTAACTCCCAGCACAGGATATGGAAACAGGTTCTTGTTTTACTTGAAAGGAAATCCTTTGATACTCTGTTTTTTTCTCTCTTGAAAAACAAGACACTTTATAATTTTCATTGCACCTTGATGTTTCTGAGTTCCTTGAAAACTTCTCCCTTCTTACCATTTCCAATCTTTTGGTGCAGACATGAAAAGCAGATCATTAATGAGACAGTTTTTATGCAAAATCCGTAATGCAGAGTACAGGAGATAAAGATATAATGCTTACACAAAACAGCATTTACTCAAGATGCAAGAGCTGTTATTATGAAGAAAAGCATTTCTGACATTTTATTTTGAGAGGGGAAAACTTGACAAATTAGCCTTTACAGACTGCCAGAAATAGTGCAAATTGAGGTCACTTTAACTGTCCTGGCTCAGTGCTAGGGAATCATGGGAATTGTATTTTTTTTTCTGGGACATTGAGCCTTCTCTGCCAGAGAGCTCTGGGGCCACAATAAACTACAGTTCCCATGATTCCTTAGCACTGAGCCAGGACAGTAAAAGTGGCTTCAATTTGTAGTATTTCTGGCAGTCTATAAAGGCCCAAATGTCATTAAATCTTTGCATTACTCTGGGACAAGATTCTGAATAAAGTCTTATACAGAATGTCAAAATGCAAGCAGATGTAGTCATCTTGGGTTAAGAAGGGTGCCTACAGGGCTACATATTTATTGTACATCACAAATAATATTATGTTCCCATAAAACACAATTCTTATATTTCTTCCCCATATCCCATGGAAATCAGTCTGCCCATCTACACACATAATCATAACATTGCATCAATAATCTTTACATTAGTATTATAACATACATAGACCAAGATCCTGTATGGCAGAACATAGTGGAATAGTTCTATCTGCAGAACTACACTATAGCTGTCTATTCAATACCTACCAACTCATCATTGCCGCCTCCACTCACAGTCATTTTGTGGCAAGTGGAGGGGGGAGATCTAGGAGAAATATGATCTTGTAGTCAGATGCAAAATTATTACATCATCTGCTGAGATTCTCCAGGGTCCTCCAAAGGCCTCAACAGATGATGCAGTCATGATGCATCTGGCTGAAGGAACTAGCTGGATGATTCTCTGATTTTGCCCATTGTCCACCAGCAAGTGAATGGCTCAACAGAGAGGCCAGAGGTTTTTGGTTGTGGAGGATGGAAGAGAATATCAATCTCTCCAAACACCCCAAAATACAAATGAAGGCATTGAAGTGGCTTTATTCCTGTGTATGTCACTAACAGGACCCTGTCCCTACTCATGTCAAAGGAGAAGCCCCTCACTTTATTTCAGTTACATCCAATCCTGCCTGGCAACACTATTCTGGAGGGCATCTATTTTTCCTAGGTCTGTAGCACATTTTCCTGCAAAACTGACAGCTGTGGCAAACACACCAGGCAACTAGGGCATTGTGAAATCCTTTATAGCCACCACACAATAGAGGTCAAACCAGTCACATTGTTTTTGTCATACACAGTTTTAAGATCTTCTTGGTGTAGGTGAATGGATAGGTATGACTTGAGTGGAAGATGGGGTACAATCCTTAAAATAAATCAGAACCTGGAAAATGTCTAAGAAGAAGAATTCATTTAATGATATGCTGAAACCATCCATAACCGGGCCCAGAACATCCCTTTTTTAAAGTTCAGAAATAAATAAACACATTTAAATATTGCAGAACAAATATGGGCCACAATGTTTGGCCACCAGTTTCCCTTTTCTTCTCAGATTCTATCTCTGGCTAGTTTTAGATTAAATCTCAAATTTATTTCTTCTATTGGATAACTTAGGAGGGATATAATCAACTCCAAAATAGTATCTCCCTTCACTGCAATGATTGCAGACAACTTGTTAGATACCAT